GGGAACTCGGAGCTCCAAGGCTCTGTCCACGAATACACAGGTGCGTGAGGAAATCCACGAGCATGTAAGGCTGGATCATGTACGTGTGTGTGTGTGCACATGTGAATGGCACGGTCCACTCTGGCAGTGTAACATGGGGCCTTAGGCCGGGCACACTGTGCCCTTGTGGGGAGGGTGTGCCAGGGACCGAACCCAGGGCTCACAGCCCAGGCGGTGAGATGGGGCAGTTTATGAACAACAGGATGTACTGCTCACGGCTCTGCAGGGGAGTCCTGGTCACCCCAGCAACGTAGAGTGAAGGCGGCTGCTTCCCAGATGCTGCCTTCCCGTGCACCCGTGAGCGCTGGAAGAGAGGAAAGGCCGACCAAATGCCACACACCCACCCGTGACCTGAACTCCTCCTGCAGCTTCACTTCTAACACCGCCACATGCTGAACTGGGGACATTTTCCACCATGGCCATATGCGTGCACGCGCATGTATGCACACACACGTGCACACTCACATGCACACACCACCTCCTAGCACTGCTGCCCAGAGGGATCTGGAAGCCACGAGCTCCAGGACACATCCTGACCTTTGTCTAATGCTGTTCCCCACTACAGCAAACAGGGTCCCCAAAGAAATGGCAAAGCCCAGGGCCAGGGCCCAACAGCCAGAAAAGGAGAAGCACTCAACGTCTGACAGGGGCTGGCACAAGGACACAGGTGCCAACTCAAAAGGGCTGGCACTGGCAGGCCCAGTGAACATGAGCACTAAAGTAAGGAAACAACACTGAAGCCACGGACAAGAACAAGAATTGTGAGAGACAGGGCAATGCCCTGCAGCTGTCAGAACACTGCAACACACTGCTGCTCCACAGGGGACGGGGGCTTCTCAGACGGAATCAAGGGTCCCAAGAAGGAAGATGAGGCCACGTTACCCTAATGACAAGAACACCTATACCAGGGCGAGGGGAGGCTGAGAAGGCAGCAGTGCCCAGGAGGCCTAAGGTGCTTCCTGGAGGGAGAGTGGGCAGCAACCGAGGGGCCTGGGCCTCAGAAGGAGAACAGAACAGATCCTTGCGCTAAAGCTTCCAGAAAGAACAGCCACTCAGACACCATGACTGTCGTTCCGGAGACCCAGTTCCAGCTTCTGAGCTCAAGAACTGTAAGATCACAAATCTGGGGGTTTCTGTTTTGTTTTGTGGTACCAGAGACTGAACCCAGGGCCTTCACCTTCAGCTACATCCCCAGCCTTTTAAACATTTTTTATTTTGGGACAAGGTCTCGCTAAATCACCCAGGCTGAGCTCAAACTTGTGGTTCTCCTGCCTTTGCCTCCCCGAGTGCTGGGATTACATGTGCACGCCACCACGCCCAGCTCCACGTGGTTTTCCTCTACTCATTGTGTGGCAAGAGTCCACAAGGGCAGTGAGAAGCTAATCCTGAGTATGACTCAGTACCGAAGAGAGCTGCTTACTCCTGCCAGCCACGTTTGCAACTGCAGAACAGCTGGCGGGAGTGGGGTGGGCAGTGCTCACACATGTGCCGAGTATGCACACATGTACATTCAGTGTGAGGTGCTCGGTCCTGCTGTGCACTCCAGCACACAGCTCACTCTGTCCCAGCCACACTCGAGTCCCTGCATCCAGTGGGGGCCTGGTGGCCCCGCTGCCAGTGGCCGCGCATGGGTCACCACCGCCCTGCCTGCTCTCGGACTGGCTCTGCCTGCTCCTGAGCTGTGTCTGTGACCCGGCTCCGCGTGCTGCCCAGCGGGCCTCCCGTCACCACTTCCACTGCCATCTCCACTCTGTGCTACCACTGCACCGCACCTTCATCACCGTGGGCAGCTGACCCGTTCAGGGCCCGTGCACAGTGCTCGGGTGGGGTGATGAGCATTCTTGCAGGTGCGTTTCAGGGAACATGAGTTCACACTGCTCCTGACTGTGTATGGGAGTCAGCTGCTGAGTTATAGGCTCCTAGTGTGCAGACAAATTCCACTCTGCCCCATAGTGTCCGGGTGGTTGTAGCAATCCGCACTCCCACCAGCAGTTTCTGAGAGCCTTACCAATACTCAGACTAACTCACACATTTGGCTTAAATTAAATAATATGAACATGCAGTCTTCAGTTCAAAATTTACAAAAGGGGAGGCTTTTCATTTTTCTTCATCATTAAGGTTTATCTGTTTAAAAGTGAAATAAATAGAAATGCATTTTAGCAAAGTATATTACTGCCAGAGTTTTCTAAAAAAAAAAGGAATCTCCTCTATGCATCCCTTTGCTATTAATATTTTTGAGACCACTGTGAGAACCAGTTCTCTGTAGAGACCATCACTGTGGGTCTCTGACTGCTCTGTAGCCACACTGATGGCTCTCAATTCCAAGGTGCTAAATGGTCTAGAAACTTAAGTGTTTGTGCTCAGTGTGAGTTAAATGTGCTTAGCCACTTCCATGTAATAAAGTATTGACAGAGAGCCCTGAACTCAGTATCTGCTAAAATTCCAAGCCCCACGAGGCTCCGCAGGGTGGAGCTCTTCCCCCTCCACTTTCCGGTCATGCTCAAGAAGGGGTAATTAGAAGATTTCCCATGAGTTATGGCATTAAAAAATATTTTCATGAAGCAGTTAAGTTTCAGCAATTCCTTTTCCATCATAATAGAGGCTGTGGTTTCAATAATTAGTGTGCTTACATTTCAACTAGAAAATAAATTAATTAAAGTTCAGTTAAATGCAAGACAGATATTTATAAGCCCTGGATCTGAACATGTTTGTCATGAGGTTACTGTTCATTAGGCAAAACAATCAGTAAGCAACATCCCAGCAAGCTCTATGTCCACTGAGTACATGGGATTCACTGCTAGGAAAGGGACTATGAAACAGGTATCTAGTCAGGGTGCAGCTAAGGGATTAACACTTACTGAAAACAAAGGAAAATGCCGATGAAATGTAGAAAACCAAAACCTGACAATTAAGTAAGGTCTGAAGATACAGTGGGGGACCTTTCAGGCCAACTCTGGAGGAAAGCCCCAGGCAGCAAGGGATGGAGGGTTCCCGTGCTGACCCACAGGGTGCGCGGGGCCCCAGGGGCCTCGGCCAGCTGCCTGGAGCAGGGGAGCCCACAAGCCTCCCACGCTGAGCCCACACCTGCGCAGGGGACGCACCCTCGGATTCTGCACAACCAGGTGCACACACAGTGCCTGCATGCTCATTCACACCCCTGCCAAGAAGCATGCCCAGGAGACTGGTGGCAGACCTGTGTTCTCAGGGGTGTGTACGCAGGCTACAGATGTCCTTGGGGAGCCAGGAGCCTTCCCAGGGGAAGCAACTCCAGACTCCATCTCAGGGAATGCCAGGGATGGCACCTGGAACAAGAGGTGTACTCGGCACTGACTTCGCACTCTGGAATTCCCAAACCTGCTGTGGGCTGGCCACACCCAGCAAATGGAATGAATAAAACACATGGTGGAGCAGCAAACTATTAAATAGCAATATGGATTTGAAGAAAAAACAGAATTTCTAGAAATGGAAGAACTACAAATGAAAAATAACCAAATCAAACACTGAGTGGCCGCATTGGGCAGCAGAATGGACACAGAAGACAGAAACAGGACAAATGAAATCACTCAGAACATAACAATGAAAGACAGACAAAGACAGCAAGTTTAGAAAGCAGTGAGAAGGCTCGATGTCCATGTGAGTTCAAGTAGACAGTGATAATGGCAGAGAAATTCACAGACCAATGAGAAGGGACAGCCCAGAGTCCACAGGCAGAGAGAACCCTAAACGAGTAAGTAAAAGAGACAGCCACATTCAGTTCCACTGAAATGGAAAGGAACAAAGCTCAAAGCAGAGACCAACAGTCTCAAAGCTAGACAGAGACTGACGGTCTCAAGGCTGACAGTCCTAGGCTTGGCCTCCCGCTAGGCCCATGAAGGTTGCTGTGCCCGGAAGATGAAGTGCAGAGACACAGCTGCCCACCTCCCTGTGTCTTACAGATAAACTGTAAGAGCAACACTACCTCCACCTCCCTGCTCCGTGCTAAGTTCTGCTTCTGTAAAATTCTGCTTGCTCCCCGCCCCGGCTGAAGAACAGATAAATGTGAGAACAAATGGAGAATTGGGGCTCAGACTCTGGAAAGTGACTTCCGCTGGACCCACTAGGGAATAAACCTGCCTTCCCTTCCATTCTCTGAGTGCTGGTTTCTTCCTTGGTCTGCCTGCCTCTGAGTGCAATTTCACCATCACAGTGAGTCTGCAGAACTCTAAAGATACCTCCAACCAAGAAACAAGTTTTAGAATGCACTGAGGGATAAAAAGAGAAATCACCTTCAGAGGGAAAACTAACTCAGAACACAAGAGGGAGTAAAGGAGAGAAGGAACAAACCTACAGGAGTGGCATCGGCACAATGCCAAGCACAGCTGGCAAGAACACCTGCAACCTGGAACTTCACACTGGGCAAAGACGTCCCTCAGGAATCAAGGACTCTATCAGACCTGGAGGTTGGTGCTAAAGCACCAAGTTAACGAAGGCTGACAAAGAGCATGCGGTCAGAAATCAGCGAGGACCACCTGAAAGAGTGAGAACAGATGAGCAGGACCAAGAGCAAAGCTCCGTGGGCAAAGTGAATACTGCCTCGGAAGGTGCCTTCTGCCCAGCCGCAGAGGAAGCTGCTGCCCCACTCCTCTGAAGCCCGCTCCCGGGCAGGGGCACAGGTCAGCACATGAAGGAAAGCGGCAGTGGCGGCCCAGCTCCGGAGCACACTGTGCCTCAGAGAAGATACCTCTGCGCCAACGCCCACAGCGCCGAAGCACTGAGGTCTGCACGCTGGCGGGGCCAGGAGAGGCAGAGAATCACAGGCAAGGAAAAGTCTCGGCAGCGTCGCAGACGGGGACACAGGTCCCCCAGGTCCGTTCTGCCATCTGGACGCATCCAGCCCTCAAGGACCACATGTCTCGAGGGTCTCGTGAGATCACAATCGCCAAGAAGGCCAAGGGGGGATCCCCAAAAGCTGCAGAACTGACCGTATCGAGGTGGCCTTCCAGCAGCACGGGGTACTGTATGATGGCTTCGAAGGCTGACAGCGTGATCTTGATGAATTCTTCTGATGCTGCCGATCCTAGGGACACAGCGACTGTTGCTCTCGGGTCTGTGTGCTTTCTGAAGCACAATCCCGAAGTATCACGCACAGGCCTGGACAGCCCTGAGGTCTACTCACCCACAGCTCCTTCTATGTTGCTTTCTCCTGAGTCTATTGACCTGATATGACTCTGAAAAAAATAAAATTCTCACTCAACAGACCTTTCAAAATCAGTCTGAAATAAAACTTAGGTAGTCAATGTGTTACACAAAACTGCTCCTGTCGTTCTTATGAAGTAAGTTGTGAAAAAATGAGATCTTCTGCATATATTATAAATAACAGCTCAGCTTTCAAACAGGATTCTATTCAAGACTATGAATAACAAACCCCAGTTGGTAAATATGCAAATCGCCACCCACCATGGGCTGATGCTGGCACACAGTCAATGGAGGCTCAGACTTGGGAGGCTGGGAGAGACACTCACTCAGGACGGGCACATCCCAGAGGAGGGTCCTGCCTCTGCCTCTGCCACTGCTGAGGACAGGACAGACGGCAGCCAGGCCACAGGCAGTGGTCTCCGGCCAGCTCAGCTTCCCAGCGGTCTCAGTGGCTCCGGCACACACACACCCCCACCCTGGCCTGTGCCCCTGTGCGGGATGCCAGTGCTGTACAGCAGCTCAGCCCTGGAGACGGGGCTTCAAGCCCCTGTGGAACACCTGGGACAGAATGGAGCTCTGTGGACAGGAGCTCGACAGGGCCACTGCCACTTTTCTAAGGTGCAGACAATCTCTGCCCTTGGCTCATCAAACTGTACATATATTTTATATTCAACAAATAGCAAATTAAATGCCAGGTGACCCTGAAACCAAAATTAACATCACGGTCCCTAGCAGGAGGCTCCCGGAAGATCATCTTCTCCCCTGTGGGTGGCAACCATCCTGACTACACAATTACAAGAGAACTTCATTTTAATCAGATACCTCTACAGCATTTGGAAAGTCTCAGTTGCATTTGTTATAAGAGTAAGACTGGAGACACCGTACGACAATGGTCCCCGCTTCTCATTTTGGACACCTTCCTCAGTCTATCAGCCGTATGTATTGTGACCACTGCACACAGTGGGAAGGCATGACATGATTCACGAGCCACAAACTAAACAAAAAGATGAATTCATGAACAGAAACTACAGTTAAGATGCCACAATGATCTGCTTTCACTTCTACCTTTAGCATCAAAGGTAAAATAAATTAAAAACTAAACTGAGCTTTACTTAGGGAAAGGCAGTCGGTCATAAAAAGAGAAGAGAAGCACAATAGGATGCCACAGGACCAAGTCAATCATGATGGAAGCATTCTTAGTATTCCATTTTCACATTTTATTTTATACTTTTTTACCAAAATCTATGAAAGCGTTTCTGTGGAATTATTTACCATATTTGGGTCCGTCTCTGAACAGAAAACATTATCAGGACAGAATATATTTTCTCTCCAAATGTCAACTTCTATTACAGTCAACAGATAAAAATACAAAAAGGTCACTTCCCTAGAGACAAATAAATGCCACTAGAATTTTTTAATTACCTCATAGTGACATCAAATTCCACACACCGTAGAGAAAAAGCCACAATTTTAGTATGAACATAAAACACTTAGTGGAGTTACTCACAAGAATCATTCCATAACTGAAAAGAAACTCCTCCGTTACAACTTGCGGTCGAAATACCTGTGTGTGGTAAGAGTGTCCACAGATTAAATCCTGAAAGCCAAGACCAATTTTAATTCAAGAAACAAAAATGTTTTGTCTCGGTTGACATTTCTTAGCTAGAGTTTACAAAACAGGGAGCCAAGTTTCTAAGATGGGATCAAAACCCTCCCCACTGCTTCGAGCACAACATCTCATCGTCCTCACCGCTTTCTGCAGCCCCTCTGGAGTCCTCTTTTATGAGGGTCTTAAGTTGTGCTGTCCTGGTGGCCTTGATGTCCTGAATGGATTCAAAACATTTTCCTTTCATGGTCATTTTGACTTTGGGGAACAGCCAGAGGTCCCACAGTGGCAGGACCAGTGATTAAGGTGGGTGAGGACACAGCATCATGTTTTTACATGCTGCCCTTCTGTTGGATGGCACTAGGGGGCAGCAGCCACTGTATTTTTGATCACTTTTCTCAAAGACACTAATAAAAGAGGACTCCAGAATGGCCCCAGGAAGTGACAAGAATGATGGGATGAGTGTGCTTGAGGCCAGGGGGAGGGCTCTGAAGGGGATTCACAGCAATGTTTCTTCTACTGTGGTCAACTTTTTAAAATTCAACCATGTTGATCACACTTGGCCACGCCCTTCCTCCCCTGAAAGGACAGTACCTGAGAAGTGAGGAGGTGATGTACAACTGGCATCAGGGGCAGGCATGTCTTCAGCTGCTTCCCTTGGACGGTGGATGGGTGCTTCCGACCAGAGACGCTGGCCAAGGCGTTCAGAATGTCACCTGTGGAGCACAGCCCAGAGAGGACACGGGTTACAGACCCCAAGGGTGTGGGGCCAAAGTCAGGCTCGATCACCAGTGGGAATCCCAAGGTAATCAAGCTCCAGACAGAAATGCAAGCCACGTCCTTCTCACTCACAAACACTGAAATGAGACACACATGGCCTCTCAGGACAAAAAGAGATGTTCTACACATACACTTTCAATTAGCCTCGAGTCTAGAAATGGGGAAAATAGAATCTACAAAAAATTATGGTAGAGTGGTAATTTTAGAATTTCCTTATGTATTTTCTGGAGTTCAACTATCATCACACTACTTTGGTAAACAGGAATAATCATTTTAGAGTAACTATCTATATAAATGAACAAATTACAGATCACAGCTTTTTAAACAGTGGAAGAGGATGGAAATGGAAAGAGTTCAATTCCCAAGACTTTTCATTGGAAAACAACATATATAATTATATATAATAAATATACCTTGATTTGTGGACATTAGAATCCTATCTTTGGATCCTAAAATACAGAGTCTGGTAATAAGAATCTCAGCTACTAACCAGCCAGATCATAACCTTCAGGTTGGAGGTAAACAAAAGTTAGAATCCACTGTGAATTTGGGGATGCTCTAGTTTCAGTCATTAGCAGCAAAAAAGTCTTGAAATATATTAGCAAAAAGTTATTGTTGTTGGGTATGAAAAGATTTTCACCATTTTGAGTGAATATTCTGAATTTCTGAATCGGAACCATACTTTAGGATAATGGTTTGAATCAAATTTAACATTTTTAACACTTCTGTTTATAGCTACATCTGCTGGAAAAGCATGAAAAGGGACTGAAGCTACGTGGACACATTCCACATTTTAATTTCTACAATAACAAAATAAGAGGTTTGTTGTAGTAAACATCTCTTGCAAATCATTAGATTTTTTTTTTTTTTTTGGTACCGAGGATCGAACTCGGGTCCTTGCTCTTGCACAGCAGGTGGTAAAACCACTGAGCTAAATCCCCAGCCCAAACCAAAGAAATTTTTAAAATTTGAACTTAAATATTGACCAATACTGTCAAAATTCTTTAAATTTTAACACTTCAAGTTTTAAATGTAAAAGCTATGTATTTTAAAGTTCTTCTAATAAACTGATTTGTGGCTCTAATCTCAAGGGAAAATTATTTTCTTCAGATTTAAGTGGTGAGAAACCCTGAGAAAAGTTACCAGAAACAATTGTGTAAGTGCAACTATAAGCAATTCAAATGCTTTCATTTGTTTATATTCTAAGATGGTCAGTTTACTTCCAATAACGCCTCACTGTAACATTTAGCCTGCTCGTGTCTCAAGGTCACTGATGCAAAATAATTATAAATACAGATAAGGACAATTTAAATCTTGGAACCACACATGAAGGCAAATGTCACTGCATTCATTTGCCTGCAAGAATGGAGTAAGAGAGTGAGAATGAGCCAAGGTCTTTAGCCCAGGCGCAGAGAGGTGAGCAGCAGCCAGGCCTTTGGACAAGGCTCCAGTTTACCCAGGATCCGAGGCAGCTCCTGGGTGATGTGGCAGATGAGCAGCTCCAGGCATCTGGACAGGTATTTGCTGCTGCTCTGCTGCTCCTTGCCCGAAGTGGTCTTTCTGCTGTCTCTCTCGATGTACATCACCAGCCTACAAATGGGAAAGCAGAGGTCACCTCTCACAGTATGACAGTGGGCAGCATCTGTCTGGAAATGCCGCTGTGGCCAGTGTGTCCACAGGGCACCATCCTCATCACACTGGCGTTTATAGAGTCTTAGCAGCTGATCAGGCACAGTCCATTTCTGCCTCACCTCAAGATGCATATGCAGAAAGAAAATAAGCTGACTTTGAATCTATCTGCCAGGGTATCCCACAACCATGTGCTGATTTCATTTGCCTTTGGCCAATGAAGAAAACAAGATTTTCCAAATGAAAAATGAAAGGGAAAGATGTCAATAGAGAGGGGTCTTGGTTTTCAAAGACTGCAAGTGAACCCACAAGCTGACCACACTGTTGTTGGTCATCAGCATTAGCCTTGCTTGGAATTCCCAGGCAACTCACATGAATCCTGACTCTTTCAGTAAACTGTGTCCATAAATCCAAAGAAAGGGTTTTGTGTCAACACAGGGCTGTAGAGACTGCAGATCCTCCTGAAGCATCTGGATTTTACATGTCTTTGTCTACAGGTCTTACAACACGTGCCTTTCAATCCCACCAAACCACATTGCTCTGAACCAAGCGCTTCCAATGCAGACCAAGGCGCACCCTGCACAGTCACCTGAAACCTAGGGTGCTGCTGCGAGGTTCGAGGCCCTCCACACATGTTCTCCCTTGCTGGACCCTCGAGTCCTCGGCCCAAGCTCCCGGGCCTTTCTCCTCATGCAGAAGTCCCCTGTGGCATGCCCCTGCTCGCACAGCCCACCAATCACGCTGAGGTGCATCCTGCCACTCCACTACACAGCAGAAAGATGTGGGTCTACACACAGCTCAGGCAGACACCGACAGTCCACGAGACCCTGCACTGCATGGACATGGCTCTCCTACCAGATGCATCGGTGCACTCGCCGTTCTGTGCTTTACTGTTTGCAGCCCTGCTGGCGAACGCGTGAGGAGCAGCCCGAGTCGGGCAGTCCAACGGGTCTGCACCAGTCAGTCAGCACCCTCTGCTCACCCGCCGACCACCCCTGCCATGCTAATACAGGACCCTGGTTACATGCGAAGCACTGAGGTCAGCACAGAACTTTCTGATGGTGCAGAAACCAGAGGAGAGTGAGGCCCTCTCCCTTTCATGACACCTGGGCTCCAAAAACACAGTCATTACACATTACATTGTGAAGAACACAACAGGCCAGCCAGAGCGCCGGGGAGCTGCACAGACACACAATCACTGCCACCAGAGCTGCCCAGAGGGCCACAGCGCTTCCAACGACCTCTTATTACTGTTCCACACTCCAGCCACGCGGCAGGACTCGCAAAGACCTTCCTGGTGGGGCAAGGAGAGCCCATCTTCCCAGACAGGCTGCTGGCCACCTCCCTGCCCAGCTCCTCCTGCAAAACAGCTTTCGCAAAATCAAAGGGTAGGACAAGTGGGCCGGGGATTTAGTTCAGTGGCTCCACCGGCTGTCCCGCAAGCACAAGTTCAATCCCTGGTACCAAAATAAAAACAAAAACAAAGAGTAGGACAACTAACTGCATCGCTCTGAGAGCAGCACTTCACACCCTGTTGACAGTGTCCACCCTGACAGTTCCCTGCCACCCCAGGGACTTCGCTAACACAGTGTGTGACACTCCTCTTTCTTCTCCTCACTTCCTTCATGGCTGAATTATACATGAGTCTGTTTTCCAAGACTATCATGAAATACCAGAGATGGGCTACTTACAGAGTTCATTTAGCTCACAGCTCTGGAGGGTGGAGAGCTCAACATCTGGGCTTGGTCTTCTTGCTAGCAGGGGAGGACCTAGCACCACCAGCCAAGAGAGAGGACTCGTGTGTCTGTGTGTATGCGCAGTGTGATAGAATAAATGGTGAAGGTGTAAGCTTAGAGAAAATACTGCAGTACAAGATACACTGCCACTAACCCAATTCTCCCCTGCCTTCAAACACACTCGTCCCATTGTCCTTGCCACTTCCTGCAGCAGCTCTGGAGTCCTCTTTCATGAGCGTCGTTTTTTGTGCTGTCCTGGCTGCCCTGACGTTCTGAGCCCATTCATAACGTTTCCCTTCCATGGCCATTCTGACTTTGGAGAAGAGCCAGAAGTCGTGCAGTGCCTGAGCCTGTGAATAACATGGATGAGGACACAGCATCATGTTTGTATGAGCCTGCCTTTGGATGGCACTCACAGCAGCATTTACTGTATTTCTGATCACACTTTATAAAGACACTAACAAAAGAGGACTTCCAGAACGCTCCAGAAAGTGGCAAGAACAACGGGATAAGTGTGTTTGGGGAGTATCTTAGGAGGATTAATGGCACTGTAATAAAGTATTTTCTTTAAATAGTCACAGTATTTTCAGATCACCTCGTACTGATAAACTGTTCATAGCAATTTCTGTGAAACAGAAATATGATGGTGTGTTCTCAGCCACTCCATTCGCCGGATTTAGCACCATGCAACTTCTTTCTCTTCCCAAAGTCAAATACCACAAAAGGTAAACATTTTGAGTTGGTTCAGGATACCCAGGCAGCAACATCAGCACAGCTAGACCCTCAGGAGAGAAGACTCCAGAGCGGCCTCAGAAAGTGGCAAGCATGACAGGGTGTGTTTGAGGCAAGGGGTACCCTGAGGGAGATTCGTGGCAAAGTGCCTTTTCCTGTAACAAACTTTTCCAACACTCACCGTCTGTCTGTTCACACCGTGGACATGGCCCCTCCTTCTCCTACAAAGCCACCAGGGCCCCTCACGGGGCTCCACCCGGTGCCCTCATATAACCCTCATCACCTCCCAGAGACCCCACCTCCAAACACCACCCTCTTCCTACCGCACCATGCGGATTGTATTTCCACACAGAAAGCCGTGGCGGAGACATGGAATCTACCCCATCATCTACCATGTGACCACATATCCACAAAGCCAACTGAGCTCTGGGCATGTGTGAGGATCTCCCCTCCACACAACTGCTGAGAAGGCCGCTGCAGCAAGGGAAACTGGGGCAGATACGTCCACAAGAAGTCCCTCAGCGTGGCCCTCGGCCTGTGGAGCTACAGGTGGTGGTGGAGCCTTTCCGACGGGCCCTGGAGAAAGGTACTGGGGGGCGCTGGTGAAGGTGAGATGGGGAGCTAGCATTTCCTGGCTCTCTCTGTGCAGCCTGGTTGCCATGAGGTGAGCGGCTCTGCTCCATAGTGCACCCCACCACGATGCACTGCCTCACCACAGACCCAAAGCCACGGGCCGACAGCCATGAGTAAATCCTCTACAACTACGAGCCAAAATAAACCTCCCTCCTTAGGAGTTCACTGTCTCAGGGGTTTCGTCACAGTGATGCAAAGCTAACAGAGTAAGATGGCAATATCTTTAAAAATCTATTAGTTCCCACTCTAGAAGAAGTTACTCTGGATATACTTGCATACACACAGGATGACGCGTGTCCATGGATTGCTATGTATAATTGCAAATGCCAGCAAAAGATCACTGGCTGAAATAAAACATGAGACACCACTGAAGGCTGCTATCAGAAGGCTACCTCTGTGTCCACTGCACAGGAACATGTGTTTTGCCTGTAATAAGCATCATGCGAAAGACACCCAGTTTTGCTATCAGCTTAAGCAATATCCACATCCCCTTGAACCACTGCTGCAGTGGTCTCAGTGCCTGGACAGCTGAGCATGGTGAAAATGGTGGGGAACCAATTCCCTCGGTGGTCCTTCTCAAGTTGTGGGATCAGAGGCTGATTTCAACTAAATGGTTTACATTTTTGCTGCCTTGAGCCTACAATGGGTGGAGTATTGTTAATTCCTGAGATGCCCTCGAGGTGTTTTTCCTATCTGTTCTAAGTACATGTCTTTATAATAGCACTAATCTTCACCAATCATACATTCTTTGGCTCCAAATTTATGCATGCTTCTTTTAGGGCCAGAATGTAAGCTTTCAAAATATTTCAGCTCTGCTTTTTAGTCCCCATTTTCACCATAAAGCTGGCTAAACGCTGTCAACAGTACCTATGCCACAGCCTGAATGTTCACCTGCCTTTAAATTTCCACTACCAGATCAATTAGTCCACCATCTTTAAACCCACCTCCTGCCAATTCTCAGGACACTGGCAAAATGTAGAAAAAATTGTGCCAGAATGTAACATGTATGGCCACTTGACCAGTTCCCAATAGAGTCCTCACTCCTACCTGAAACTTCCCTATCCTGGCCTTTACTGTCCACATTCCTGACAACATTCTCGCCAGAACCATCCATCAGTCTCTGCTTACAGCATTTTAGGCCTCCCCAGCCAGCATCTCCAAACCTTTCCAAACTTCCAAACTTCTCCTTCAATTCAGTTCCAAAGGCTTCTGAACCAAATGGTCAGGCACAGTCACAGCAACAACCCCACTTCTCCAGCACCATTTGTATTAGTTAGCTTTCCAGCCACTTGGATGAAACACCTGACATACATGACTTAAAAGGAGGAAATAAACTTAAAGGTTCATTTGGCTCACGGTTTCAGAGGATTCAGTCCACCACTGGCTGACTACCAGGCAGAAACATGGCAGAAGGACATGGCAGAGCAAACTGTTCACTTCGTGGCAGTTGAGAAGCAGAGCAGAACAGTGCTAGTGAGAAATATACTACCCAAGGGCCGGGAATTTAGCTCAGTGGTTCCGCCGCCTGCCTCAAAAGCACAAGGTCCTGAGTTTGATCCCCGGTACCAAGAGAAAAAAAAAGAAATACACTACCCAAAGGCAAGCCCCAGTGGCCCACCTCCAACTGGGCCCTCCTCCTAAAAGCACATTCAGCTATGAATACTACTGAATTAACACAGTGATGAGTGCAGAGGCCCCTGACCCAATCACTTCTCCAAGAGTCTCTTAATACAGTCAAGGTGACAATTAATAACTGGCACACTCCTCTACCTGTTGTCTCTAAGTGACTGCCACTATACTTACACTCAGGCAGAGCAGTCTTAACATTTATTCTCTGGAAAAAATAAAATCTCTGTACAG